CCTACACAGAATAATGACAGATATTTTAGACAGAGACCGAAACAACCACAGCTTCAAGAACAACAGAAAGGACCCACCATGCACAGCAAGCAATTAAATAGAGCATTAAGTTATGGAACCACAGAAGGAAAATAACATGACAAAGATAAGCCAAAACAGGTAAGTTATAACCATCAATGTAAATGGCCTAACTCACCAATCAAAAGAAGCAAACTAGTAGAATGGATTAAGAAACAAAATGCAACAATATTTTATATACAAGAACCACATTTAACTCAAAACAAAATTCATAGCCTGAAAGTCCAAGTATTGCAGGCAGCCGAGTTAGATAGAAATATTATAGGCAGTCAGACAGGGCCAGGCCCTTGAAGGAGACAACACAGAAGATGAGATGCCTTACAACTGTGGGAGGGGCGGATGCTCCTGCTGTGAACCAGACCTAAAGACCTAAAGGCCAAACAAATGCTAAACGAGTAGCACCTGGGATTGATATTCTAAATAGGTATCAATCACCTGGAAAGACCCAAGTGAGTCACTAGCCCAACCCCCAACAGAAAGAGACCCTATCCTGCATTCCAACCCCCAATAGGAAAAGACCCTGTCTCATATATAATCCCATTGGTTGACCATAGTTTTGTCCCACCTCCTGCCCACCTAAGTGAGTTCCCATTCTCTCTACCTTAGCCTCACATGGTTTTACACTATAAAAGTCCCTGGAAGAGACAGCTTCCCGGGAAACTACCTGCTCGGGGGCCCCCCTCCTGTCCCTCTCTTGGACAGGAGCTTTCTTTCTCTCAATAAATATATTCTGCTCATAACCTCCATTGGTTCCTAAAATTCATTCTTCGGTTTTAGAGAACACTAACTCGTGCAGGTCAGGTCCAGAGATCATTTTTTTCTCTATGTCATTTGGAGGTTCCCTATATGGTTTGGAGGTCACCCACCCAAGACCAGTTTTTCTCCCTGTATCACAAGGATGGAAAATAATACTCCATGTGATAAGAACCTAGAAAAAAATCAGACAGCTATTCTGGTTGCTGACAATATCAACTTCAAATCAAAAATCATTTAAAGAGATAAAGAAGTTCATTACATATTTGTTAGGGGAAAACTGCAACAGGAAGAGATAACAAATATAAATGTATGTGCACCCAATGTAGGAGTACCCATCTACATAGAACAAATTTTAACAGAAACGAAAATCAAACAAGCAATAATACAATTGTAATGGGGGACTTGAACACACCACTCTCACAAAGAGACAGATCAAGTAGGCAAAAAAATAAGCAAAGAAATAACAGAACTAAACCAAACTTATGAACAAATGGATTTAAGAGACCTTTACAGAGTGTTCCACCTGATAACTTCACAATACACATTCTTCTGAGCTGCACATGGGATGTTCTCCAAAACAAACCATATACTACGGTATAGACCATGGTTCAGTAAATATATAGGAAATGAAATAATGCCATACATATTACCTAAACATAGTGCTAAGAAACTAGAAATTATTAGCAAAAGAAACTACAAAACAGCATAAATACATGGAAATTAAATAACCTCCTAAACAATCAGTGGGTGACAGATGAAACAAGAAATTAAACAATATTTACAATGGAATGAAGATACAGATACAAAGGGGCTGGGGAGATGGCTCAGTGGAATAAGCACTTCCCTGGCAAGCGCAAGGGCCTGAGTTCAATCCCCGGTTCCGCCAAAAAAAAAGAAAGAAAGAAAAATAAAGCACCTACTTAGAACAAGCTAAACAAAGCACAGGGACTGCGGTTCAATCCCCCATCACCACATGCCAGCCAGCCCCGCCCCACCCCCTGGTGGGCTGAGCTGGCCACACACAGACACAAATAAATAAATAAATATTAAAAAAAGGGGGGGGCAGGGAGATGGCTCAGTGGAATAAGCACTTGCCTGGCAAGCACAAGGGCCTGAGTTCAATCCCCGGTTCCGCAAAAAAAAAAAAAAAAATACAGATACAACTTCTGGAACATGTGGGATAGAATGAAGGTTGTCTTGTGAAGGAAAATTTATAGCAGTAATTTGCACATTAGGAAAAAGAACAAACCCAAATAATCTTATGCTGCACTTCTTTTTCAAGTTCCTAGAGAAAGAAGCCCAAAGAAGGCAGGAAATTATAAATATTAGCAGAAATTAATGCAATGAAGATGAAGAAAACAATACAAAGAATTGGCTCTTTGAGAGATAAATCCCTAGCCAACCTTATCAAGAAAAGGAAAGAAAAAAACCCGAATTTATGCAATAAGGAATGAAAAGGACAAAATCACTATACATGCTATTGTAATTCGGGAGATCAATACCTACTTTCCCAAATCTTTACCTTACAGGATGGAAAACACATGGGAAATATACAGTTTCCTAGATACAAATGAAATTCCAAAGCTGAGTCAAGCTATACACACTCTGAATAATGCAATTAACAGGAAACAAAATTGCAAATGTAAAACCTACCCACAAAGAAAAGCTCAGGTCCTGATAGATTGACAGCTGAATTCTGCAAGAAATTTAGAGAAGATTTAATGACAAATGTTCACAAACTCTTCAACAAAATTGAAAGGCAAGCAATTCTACCAGATTTATTCCTCCACACAAACATTCCGATAGCAAAACCAGAGAAAGAATCAACTAAAAAAGAACTACAGGCCAATCTCTCTAATATAGTTGTGAAAATCCTCAACATAATATTAGCAAAAGAATGCAGCAGATCATCAAAAGTATACATCATGACCAACTAGGATTCATCTCAAGAATGCCAGGATGGTTCAACATATGCACCCATAAATGTAATACACATCAACAGAGCCAAAGACAAAAATCACATGATCATCTCAACAGATACAGGAAAAGCTTTTGACAAAGTCCAACACTCATTTATGATAAAAACCCTACAGAACATCAGAAGATGGTCTTTACCTCAATCTGATAAAAGCCATATATGAGAATCCAAGAGTCCATATCACATTAATTGGACAAAAACTGAAAGCCTTCACTTTAAAATCAGGAACAAGACAAAAATGTCCACTATCAACACTCCTTTTGAATACAGTTCTGGAAACATTAGCCAGAGCAATTAGATAAGAGAAAGAAATAAAAGGAATAAGGACTGGAAAGGAAGAAGTAAAATCATCATTATTTGCAGATGACATGATATTCTACCTAGAAGGCCCCAAAACCTCAGCAAGAGACTTGCAGATTTAATAATCAAATTCAGTAGCATAGGAGGATACAAAATCAACATTGAAAAATCAATAATATGTCTGTACACACACAATGAATGTACCCAGAGAGAAATTGGGGAGACCACACCTTTCACAGTAACATCCTCCAAAATGAAATAAATATAACTCAATCTCACAAAGGAAGTAAAAGATTTATATAACCAGCTATTCCTTCCTGTGTATTTTCTCAGAAGAACTGAAAACATCATAACACAGCATTATATGTCCACCTATATTTATAGCAGCATAATCTGTCATAGCTAAATCTTGGAAACAACCCAAATGCCCACCAAGTGAGAAATGGACAAGAAAGATGCAGTATTTTACACAATGGAGTATTATTTAGCTATAAAAAAGGATAAATTTGAGGTTTTATAGGTAAATGGATGCAACTAGAGACCATAATCTTAAGTGAAAATAAATCAGGCCTGAATGTACAAACACTGTATTATGTCCTTAATGTGAGAACCTTAAAGTGTAAATAAAATCTGAAAGTTACAATAGATACTGTGAAAGGAAAAGAATTTGTTTAATGGGAAGGAAAAACTAGAATGAGGAAAAGGACAAAATAAGGGAAAACTGTATGTTTAGGTATATATGCAAAATAGTTTAGATCATTGTAGTGTTGATTTTTTGCTAGTCTTTTGAAAGGAACAGTTTTAATGCTTACAATTTTTTTTCGTTTTTTTCTTTTGAATTTCTTACAAATTTTTTATTATTCTCTTTTTTTTCTTTAAACCATCTTGCAGTTTATATCTAGTAATATAATCTAAACTGGAGGTAACATCATGCAATACAACAACCATAGCTGAGTTACTACTACTTTGTTTAGTGAAATTTTCTGTTGTTTCTAATGCTGTTTTTTAATCACTATTTTTTATTCTTTAAAACATTAAAAAACAAAGAATGCCCCCAAATCAATCCTAAATATTCAAACTGTGGAGACAGTATCAGTGTGCATGTTTGTTATATTTTTCTGCTATACAGACACAATACTTTCCAATTTGAAAAAAAAAATCAAGATGCTTTTTGGTTCAAGTGACATAATCATTTTAATAAAAGTTTAGAGCCTTAGGAGGATATTTGCAAGTTCAAGGCCAGCCTGGGCTATAAAGTGAGGCTACAAAGCTAGTCTGAACTGCATAGTGAGAATGTTGTTTCAAAAAGACCAAAACAAAACAAAGTTAAGAGCCTTTAGCATCACCATAGCTTCTCACTTAAAAAGCATTCTCTTGGGTAGGCAGAGAGTTCATGAACAAAACCTAAACTGCACGGGATATAGTTCAAAGAATCAACAACTGGGAGAAATCACCAACAGAGTAAAAAGAAAACCCATAAATTGGGGAAAAAAATTATAGCCCACTGTCCCTCAGATGAGGTCTTCTATCTAGAAAACAAAGAATTAAAAAAAATCAGGCCCCCATAATCCAAAGATCCAACCCAGAAATGGGCATCTGAGGTGAATATGCACTTCTCAGAGGAAGAAATACAAATGGCAAATACATGAAAAAATGTTCCACGGCACTGGTCATTTGAGAAATGTAAATTAAAACAACACTGACATTCCATCTCACCCTAGAAAGAATGGCTATGATCAAGAAGACAACCAATAACAAATGTCCGGGCCGTTGTGGTGCGAAAGGAACTTTTCTCTACTATTGGTGGGAGTGTAGACTGGTACAACCACTATGGAAATCAGTGTGGAGATTCCTCAAAAAGCTAGGATTAGGGCAGTCGCGGGCGGCTGAGCTGGCTGCGCAAAGGGAACTAGTGGTTTAGATAGCAGTGCTCATCATGCTGAAAGCTGTGATCCTGATTGGAGGCCCTCAGAAGGGAACGCGCTTCAGGCCTTTGTCTTTTGAGGTCCCCAAGCCATTGTTTCCTGTAGCTGGGTCCCTATGATCCAGCACCATATCGAGGCCTGTGCCCAGGTGCCTAGAATGCAGGAGATTCTGCTCATTGGCTTCTACCAACCTGATGAGGCCCTCTCGCAGTTCTTGGAAGCCGCACAACAGGAGTTCAACCTTCCAGTCAGGTACTTGCAGGAGTTTGCCCCCCTGGGCACAGGTGGTGGTCTCTACCATTTTCGGGACCAGATCCTGGCTGGGGGTCCTGAGGCATTCTTTGTGCTCAATGCAGACGTCTGCTCTGACTTCCCCTTGAGTGCTATGCTGGATGCCCACAGACGCCAGCGACACCCTTTTCTACTCCTTGGCACCACAGCTAACAGAACACAGTCCCTCAACTACGGCTGCATCGTTGAGAATCCACAGACCCATGAGGTCCTGCACTATGTGGAGAAATCCAGCATGTTCATCAGTGACATCATCAACTGTGGCATTTATCTTTTTTCTCCGGAAGCCCTGACCCCTCTGTGGGATGGCTTCCAGCGTAATCAGCAGGAAAGGCAACTCTCAGCTCTCTATGCCTCCTGCCTCTATCTGGGCCAATACCAGGTCACTCACCCAGAACGGCTAGCCAAGCACACACCAGGGGGTCCACAGATCCGAGGAAACGTTTACATCCACTCTACAGCTAAAGTGGCCCCATCAGCCGTGCTAGGCCCTAAGTTCTCCATAGGAAAGGGGGTGACTGTGGGCGAGGGTGTGCGGCTCCGAGAAAGCATTGTCCTCCATGGAGCCTCATTGCAGGAGCACACGTGTTCTGCACAGTATTGTGGGCTGGTGGAGCACTGTGGGGCGCTGGGCCCGTGTGGAAGGGACTCCCAACGACCCCATCCCCAATGACCCCCGAGCCTGCATGGACAGTGTGAGCCTCTTCAAGGACGGGAAGCTACTGCCTGCTATCACTATCCCGGGCTGCCGTGTCCGGATCCCTGCCAAGGTTCTCATCCTGAACTCGATTGTTCTGCCACACAAGGAGCTGAGCTGTAGCTTTACCAACCAGATCATGCTCTGAGGGGGGCTGTCAGGAGGTCCCCCAACTCCTGACTACTCCCCTTGAGAGGCTGCTGCCTGCTTGCCCAGCCTTGGAAAGGAACCAGGGAAACCAGGCAGGATCTTCACAGGCTGGGAGTTATGTGGGTGGCCGAGGACTCCTGGCCTCCCTCCCTACTCCCAAATAAACCCAGTGAACATTGGGAAAAAAAAAAAAAAAAAAAGCTAGGATTAGAGATCCCATTCAACCCAGCTATTCCCCTTCTGGTTATTTTTCCAGAACTGAAAATATACCATAGCAATATATGTGCATCCATGTTTATAGCAGCACAATTTGTCTTATCTTAATCTTGGAAAAAACCCAAATGCCCATCAATTGAGGTATGGATAATAAAGATATGGTAATTTTACACAATAGAGTATTATTCAGCTATAAAAGACAAACTTAAGGCTTTTACAGGTAAATGGATACAACCAGAAACTATATTCATAAGTGAAATACATCAGACCTGTATGTGTAAACATCATATTGACGTAAGATCCTTAAAGAGTAAATAAAATCTGAAAGGTATAACAGATACTGTGAAAGGGAAAGAAATCTGTTCAAAATGAAGGAACAACTTGGATGAAGACAAAGACAAAAGGGAGAAGGGAAAAAGATATATTTATGTATATTTACAGGACAGCTTGTATAAGTGTACTACTGATTTCTGCTAGTTTATTGAAAGAAGCAGTTAATGCTTACTTTTTTTTAATATTTTGTATTTTTGACCAATTTTTCATGCTTATATCTGATACTCTGAACAACTAATTTGAAGACAACAATTTTCAATAAAACAACCATTGTGGAATTCCCATTATTTTGTGTAGTGCAATTCTGTATCGTTTTTTTTTTTTTTTTTTTACTATTTTTTACTTCCTTTAACAAATGAAAACAATGTATTAACCAGTTACCTTCCTATGGTATCGTTTTGTAATTTTTTTGTTCTTTTTCTTTAAAATGACATTAAAACGTGAAAAAATTACAAGTGTTTCATTATATAAGTCAAATCAGCTTGAACATAAAGAAAAATACAAAAAAAGTATGACCTGAATGTACTGTAGTGTTTTACATCTTTCCACTTTTAAAACTTGATATAATACACAAACACAGACTTCTTTATTACAAACACAGTTGGTTGCTTAATATTCTCATAAAAGTTGCTGCTGTGATGCAATGAACTTGGATATGACCGGTTTACCCTCACTGGTGGTATCACCAAATCAAAGATTCTGAACATTCTTCTGTTGTGGGTTCATAATCAATATAGGGATCCAAGCGGCCAATTAAAATTTGAAGATTTTTATAAGTTGAGCTCAGGGACCGCACAGACTCGTTTCAGAGTCCAAGTGAGCAGTCTTGACCAGAAGACATGGTGTGTATATAAAGGGAATATGCAATATATCTTGTTTGTCAGTGAAGATTAGCACCCATCCTGCCTGTCAAACAGATTTTTTTTTCTATACATTTGGCTTTTTTCCCTGTCATTGTTTAGGGTCAGTGCTTTCTCAGGGTATATTTCCTCCATATGGAAGGCCTGTTTTTTACTACCCTGGGGTCAGCAAACGTTTTTTTAGATCAGCAGCTTTCTCAGTGCATATTTTTTCTGTATGGTAGGCCTGTTTTTACAACTCTGGGGTCAGTTAACGTTTACCATGGCAATACCTATGCTACAAGTCTGGGTTTAGACCATCGCACTTCAGGCTCTACCACTTTTAACACTACTTCCCAAAACCCTTACTCAAGTCTTCATCCTCAATAATTCACAAAAATATACCATCAGAGAGCTCTCGAGGGCTGTGCCCAGCCATTCGTTCCACAAATTCAAAAGCGAGGTTCAGAGACCTGCAGCTACAGGTCGGCCCTCCAGCGCCTCGCGGATGTCTCCCCCGGGGCACCGGCACCTTGGCCCGGGCGCCGCATTACCGCCTCTGCACCTGCCAAGATCCTCGCCCCTTGCTTCACTCCAGTGGGACGCCACGAAGTGCGGGGTTCCAGGAGTGCAGAAACCTTTTAAACTGCATCCAAAACAGTCACTAAGCTGGACTCCCACAGCGCCGCGGAGAGACACACCAGAAACTGAGAGCGGAAATGGCGCGCCAACATCCCCCACGCCCAGCCACCGGCGACCTGCCCCGCAACACCCCAGCTTGCACCTCTTAACAACTTTAGCAGGAACTTTCGCGGAGGCCCTTCCTTGGTTTCGGCCTCGAAAAGCCCCCGAGCCAACCTTAGGTGTCCTCAGCGAATGCCAGGCCGGGGACCTCACCTTCCCTCCAATCCCGAGCAGGCGTGGGACAGGCGGCCTATCTGTGCTTGCTGGCCAGGCTGAAGCAGTCGAACGCAGCACCAGCGATCCAGTTGAGGGCGGCGCGGGACTGTGGCTCAGTGGGCTGGTCCTGGCCTGAGGCCTCGGCACTCGGTGGTAGCTCACTGCTCGAGTGTCGGCGTGATCCATGGGCAGTAGCCAGGGCCGCGATGACAGACTACGGCGAGGAGCAGCGAAACGAGCTGGAGGCCTTGGAGTCCATATACCCCGACTCCTTCACAGGTGAGGTTTGCGGCCTTACGCCTCTGCCACCTCGAGGTGGAGTGGGCCGCGGCCTGGGGCAACCTGGCCATGCGCTGCCATCCTCCAGCCCTGTGGTCAGTGCTAATCCGATGGCTGCAGCACCGACCCACGGGGCCCTGAAAGCCCCGGGACTCGGGAGAGAGGAGAGTTCCCCTGGATAATTGTCAGGCTGCAACTGGGTCGGCAGCACTTTGGTTCTCTTTATCCTACTGCAACTACTCACAACAACTCATTTCTCCAGAGCCGCAGTCCCTTTTTCAGTTCTTCTCTGTGATTGAGGTCGAAGCTCATACTATATTTTTACACGGCTCGTATATGTTTACACGATGTTTTCATACGATGGTGTGTGGGATTCTGAGTGCTGTTCTCAAAGCTGCCCAGAATCAATTTTCAGAGTGGCACAGTTCCTGAAACTCGTTTTCTCCTCTTCCTCCTTCTCCTCCTTCCTTTTTGCTTCTCCCTCTTTCTCTTTTTCTTAACAGTGTGACAGAGTACCTAATAAGTGATGTGGCTCAGATTTTCATTCCTTACAGATTTGTAGGTTGTTAGTGTAGAAGGAATATTGGACATCATCTAGTCTGAGACTGCTGGCTAGTTAAGCGTAGCCCAGTATGGAGAAGAGTACAGCTCTGGGTCTCTATATGGATATACATCAGGGCTGCTCCGTAGGGTTGAGTCCAGACCTCTTTCCTATTCTTCAGCTTCCAAACGTGTAGGGCTTGGGATCTAGCATGACCTGACACGAGGAAGACCACATTGCTTAATAGATTAGCTTAAGGTAAATTATTAATGAGGAACTCATTGGATGTATTTTTTAATTGATTTTATTGAGAGGCAAATAGCAACGAGACAGTTTCAAAACAAGTTAGGGCAGTTACAATAATTAATACATGGCATATTGTTGTATTTGTAGTAGTTATGCATAGTACAAGATGAAGACATGATATCTTGTCTAAATACTATTAGTATAAATCTTTCTCATTGAACTAAGAGAAAGTAGCTGTAATATCCTATTTTGTATATACAGATACATATACGTGTACATATA